TTTTTTTTTTTTTTTTTTTAAAGATTGACCTTGTACAGTCTATCGCATGGTCAATCCTTTGGGATCTTGGGCAGAAAGTGAGATTTACGTGCTGACCGCCGGTCAGACCAATGTATCTGGTCTGGTCCATTGATCTGGTCAGTGTATCGGACTGACCACCGACCTGGCGAACGTATCCTAACTGACCACCGATTCCTTTACCCCCTCCCCCCCCCCGGGCCGGCCGAAGACCACCACACTCCTGCCCTATTGTCTTAAGATACACGACCACCAGTTTGGATAACTCACACCACCATTCACCTGTCACTCACCCCACTGATCCGTCCGCCGGCGCGTCCGACTTCAAAAGTCCTGGGCCATCAAGATACGACCACCGGTGTCCATTAGTCCTTCGTTTTCTGGTTGGTCGGTTCCCGGCCCCCCCCCCCAGCCCAGGTCCAGAGCTCAACGCTGTAGTGTTTTTGTTGGTAGGCGCGCTCACTCCGTTCGGATATGTTTTGATCTATGGCGTTGTGGATGTAGCGGTGAATTCATTGTGTAGCGATGGAAGCACAGGGGATATAAGTCGGGCAGTGCAGCTCGTCTCCGACCTGGTCAGTACAGCCAGGTTTCTAGCTAAGGCTGTGCAGCTCGTCTCCGACCTGGTCAGTACAGCCAAGTTTCTCGCTAAAGCAGTAAGCTAGTCTCTAGCTTTGGTAGTGAAGCTCATCTATAGTTCTAGCTAGACAGTGCAGCTATATATAGCATGGTCAGTTCAGCTAGTCTCTAGCTAGGGTAGCACAGCTCATCTATAGCTAACAGCAGACTTGTTTTGTTACTCATAAATTCTTGCTGTATTTATATTTTTGGTATATTGCGGAAATGATGTGTGGCCTGACATGTTCTATTTATTGGCCGATATGTTCTATATATTGGCCTGACTTGTTCTATTTTTCGGCCTGACATGTTCTATTCATTGGTCAAAAGTTTATATCCAATCATCCTAGCTGTAGTGGACTTGGATAAAATTGTTTTCACAATTTCAGTTTCACACAGACAGTTCCATCCAGTCAACAGCAATGATTCACTTAAACCTTGTCAAAGTCTGTCCATGTCAAAGTCTGTCCATTTCTTTAGCTACTTCTACAAGAAAACTGAGAAGATTCAGACTTTGGCCAACTGCTAGAAAGTATATCCATGAAATAGCCAAATTAATAAAGTATATCCATAAAAAAGGTGTGTTGCTTACAAGTTTTAACAACCATAATTTCTTTGTTTCCCAGGCTGCCATTCACTCCCATGAGAAGAACATCAAGGAGAACATTGAGAACGTCAAAAGTAAATTTCTCCAACTGTTGGATGTGTGCGGCATCAAGGATGCAGACGTTCCTCTGTTCGATGAGCCTGACCGCCTCCAACACAACCGACAGACCCTGATCACAAGTTTTGGCACAATGTCCAAGAAACCATCCCACGCCACAGCACGACGCATCAGTCGGCACGCTCGCCGCGACCCATCCATCTATGCCGACATGCTCATAGAACAGCTGCTTGCTGAGGCCAATGCCATGGTCGACTCGGACTCTTCGCCTCCCAGAGCCGCAGGTCAGCAAACACAAGATAACTCAGACACCCCAAGCCAGAAATGCAATGATGAAAAATGCATTCCCCATACACCTGAACAGGTGAACTTCCCCTCTTCAAATTCACAGCTTGAGGCCCAGACCCAGTTTTATCCAGCCCCTCCCGCCAGTGTCAACAGTGACAGCCGAGTGGACATGCCGGTCAACAGCCTCAGTACTGTTGTCCATACGCCCACCATCAGACGACAGAACCGACACTGCAGTACGACAACTGACAGCGGTCTGACGGGCTCTGACCACTCCCCTCAAGCTTCTAGCAAGGCGTACTCATATGTTTCCCTGAGGCGAGAGCAAACTGATCACAACCTATTCCCCACACATAACATCAACACAACTCTGGGCTCCACACCCGAACTGCCCGCCTCGGAATCCTCAGACACACTGGACGTTAAGTTTGCTTCCCTCTTTGACATCCTGGAGACACCAGAATCACCAAGATTCAATCACGTTGCTTCACTTCTCCATCATACATCAGATTTCCAAGTGGCCCAGAGCTCTTCATCTCCTGAGTTACCTCAAGCATCTTGCTACAATTTTCCTGTCCACTATTCACAGTCCTACGCAGAACAGATCTACCTGGCTGAAGCCAGCATTGATTCTGCTTCAAGATCCCACCTTTCCATTGCAAGCTGTCCTAGCACTGCCTCACCGACCAGACCGACAGCATCCTTCAGTTGTGATAGATCAGAGGTATTCTCCATGGGCAGCTCTGTAGCGGATGAGTCCTACATCTACCACGAGCCTCTGGTGGTCTGCCTGCCCCCGAAAACCCCACCCAGACTGTACAAACATTTCGGCAAGCATGATCACAACATGAACAAAAGCTACAAACCACATCTGGAAGATAAGAATACAGGGATTGATTCTGACACAGACAGTGAAAGGCCCCCACTACCACCTAGGAGACCGCTGACTGACACAAAACTCGGAAGACTTGTAGTGAAATCTGGAACCAAAGAGGTTGGAAATGTGTGGCTCGGTTCTCCACAGTTGGAATCATCTGCAGAAAGGACCTTGCAGTATGTACAGCAGTCCTTTGACGAGCGATCAGGCTTAGAAGATTCATTAATTTCTCATCAGATCAGCTACGACACACCCAGCAGGTTGGACACCACAAGGAACATGTCCTGGTCCTATCATGATCTGCCCAACATGTCTGATCTGCCTCACAACTCAATGGTCAGCATGTCCACTGGCAAGGCACACTGCAGAGAGAAGCAGCGGTGTCCTGGAGATCGTTACATCACTGTCAGGTCCCACAAGGCCCTGAGCCCACCTGAAGGTTTCGATACCCCACTGAGTGCATCAAAGCGAAGAAGGTGCAATGACCAAACTCTGTTGACCCCGATCCACATGGATCAGAAACCCTTCCCTGCAAGGTCGGCACGACAAAGACTTTCATTCACACCCGTTTCCAGTCCCACAAGATCCAGGCCGACTGACCACCTCAGTCCGGATTTCCTTTCCTCCCCTAGTAGCAAGTCCCCACCAAAGAGTAACAGACTGCGGAGGAAAAAGCGCCAGTCCCCCGCCATGCGTCGACTGATGGAGGAGAAAGAGAATAATGCCCTGTCGCCTGGCCACACTAACGCCACCTCAAGGAAACCCTTCAGCAGCGTGTACAACCTAAAACCAAACATCACCACAGACCTGCACAGCACATCATCCAACAGCCAGAACACGTCCGATGCCTACCCCAAGTCCAGCGACACATCCCCAGAGTTGCCACTTCCCAGCCGAGAGGATGAGCTGCGGGACAGGGATGCCTACTACAGTGACTTCACGGTGGACAGGCAGCACAAAATTGACACCGTTAAAGGCAAGCTGCCCTCCTCCCAAAGCTCAGGAGAAGATCAAGAGAAACAATACCTATTTGAAGATCCAGCAAGTTCCCAGCTGATGGTCAGGATGGTGGAGGGTGCTGAAAGTTCACCTTCTGACTTTGTTTTCCGGCCCCCGCCCTCAAATCTCAGGGCGCCCAGGGCAGCCGCTCGAGCTAAGAAACGAGCCAGCCCTTTAAAATCATCTCAGCGACCCCGCCCCGTATATCCATGTGATAAAGTTGGAGTGCCTCAATCAAGGCCATCCAGCAGCAGCCACAGTTCTGAAAAATCTGAGAAAAGGTATTCGAAAAGGCATTCCCAGAAAATTTGTACTAGCCATCCGATGGCTTCCTCAACTCTGATCATGGATTCTGAAACCAGCAGCCCAGATGTGGAATCAGTTGGAAGTGTCTACTACTGGTCTCTGGAAGAGGAGTCTGGCCCATGCAATTTAGAGAAATCTTACATTCGCAGTACCAGCACAAAGAAGAAACAGAAACATAAGTGTACCAAGAATCTGAACATGCCCCGACCACCAACCTCGGTCGGTCAAGACAGATCGGCAGGTTTGTTTGAAGATGAGAAATCCTTTGAGTTCAGCGCACTGGTTTCTCGTATTGATGAAACAGTAAATTGTACCAGCAAAATTGTTGGTAAGCAAATCAACAGCATGATTGAGGACAGCAGCCTCGCTGCGTCCACTAACAGGTCAGACTCCCAGTCGTCCATACCCAGAACAAGCACACGCAGCACGCTATCTGGACAAGGTGTAGTTGCTGGCGCACCATCCTATTTGAGGGGCATCAACAAGAGTGGAAATTTCCACATCAGTGACGCTCAGTCTTTTATGGCCTCAAGCAACCAAGCCACAACCTCGTCCATGTATTTTAACAGAGCTAAAGCTTCCATTGTTTGCTCATCAAATGAGGTCAGTGAAGTCCCCGCACCTGGTCCCCTGTCCAAATACTCTCGGCACATTTCAGCATCGGAGCCAAACTTGAGGCACCTGATAGAAGATGCCACACATTCTCTAGTGCCGTCGGACACCGACACTACTCCAGAACGATTTTCTGAATCTTCTGTCCTTGAAGAACGTCTTGAAATACCTGGCAAGTCAAGCACGAGTGGCAGCAGTTCTTGTACTGCCGCCAGGTGCAGGCCCAGAATTTTGCCTGAGTCATCCGAGAAACAGACTGGCGAAGCGGCCCTCGAATGCACCATTCAGCCCCATCCTAACCAAGATCTTTTAGACTCTATTTTAACTGACAGTCCCAGGAGTGTGAACTCCAGTGGGATTTTTGTGCCCCATAATTCATACAATTCTCCCGTAGAAAGTGTTGGCTCACACAATGGCTACTCCAGCACAGTCAGCAGCAGCGTGTCATCCGACACCAACTACAGGAGAGTTCAGCCGGGGGTCCTGGCTCCTCCCCCCACCCCGCCGCACTCCAGGTCCCAGCAAGAAAATGCCTCAAGAAGTGTTTCAGCATTGCCGTCCGAGTCCAGGTGTAGAGCAACGTCATCAAAAGTATCACAGCTGTTTGATGAGTTCAAGCGACCTTTCACCCCGGCACCCCACATCAACCTCACCCTCCGTCCGGCCACCAGAAATCAGGGTGTCACTGCAGAAGCGTATCCACCCACACCTCATCGACCGCTGTCGGTCAGAAGTGACCCACTAACCAACAAGTCTGTGTTCACAGTGCCTCCTGGAGTTGTCACAGGGCCGCCCAAGATCAAAGACAAAAAATCACTTGTTAAAAAATTAAAGAAGTTCAGCAGCCATTTCTACAAGAAAACTGAGAAGATTCAGACCTTGGCCAACTTGTGAACATTGTTTGAAAAGCTGCTTGGCTTATGCTTTAAATATTACCTGTGACTTCAAAGTAATATATTTCTGGGAAGCTGTAACTGAATAAATTAAATTAATACATCTGTAATAATTCAAACAATCACCAGTATTCCAGTCTGTGTGCATTTTGTCACATATTGTTTATACTGCAACTCTTTTAATGAACCAGGTATCTGGCTAACAGAATTTCATATTGTGCACAATTAACAATTTTAATTTTGGTTTTTACGTGCTGGATATGAAATGCTGATACGTTGTAATTTATTTGAGCAAGGTATCATTTTTATAGTCCTTCATTGTTACATTTTTCGATGTACTCTGTCTTTCAACACCTTAAAATGGAAATCCAATTTGTGAGTAGAAAGGACATGTTTTTTTTGAAGCTAGCAAACACAATGAAGCTGTTCATCAAAATTTCATGATTTTTCTGGGTTTTTTTTTTTTAAGTTGTTTACAAAGCTAGTTGACAACTGAGATGGTTATTTATTTTACTTGACTGTTTTAATGGGACTGACTCTATTAATGGGACTGACTCTATTAATGGGACCGACTCTATTAATGGGACCGGCTCTATTAATGGGACCGGCTCTATTAATGGGACTGACTCTATTAATGGGACTGGCTCTATTAATGGGACCGACTCTATTAATGGGACCGACTCTATTAATGGGACTGGCTCTATTAATGGGACTGACTCTATTAATGGGACTGGCTCTATTAATGGGACTGGCTCTATTAATGGGACAGGCTCCATATATTTATGTCACACCCATTTTTAACAGCATCATTTTTGTCAGTGGGAATCACGTATTGATTTTTATTTGAAATGCACTTGTTGCAAAAAAGGCTGGACAAACGGCATTATCGAATTATCTCGGAATTCCAGATGTATTTATTCTGTGATTTTATTTTTTAAAATAATGTAACGTATAAATGTAAATTAATGTAGATAAATTAATCCTGGGATAATTCTGACTCATGTACATAAATATCTCATGATGCAGCTGATTATTTACATGTGTAAAAAACAAAATCTCATCACACCGGTGTTTGGCTGCAGCCTAATTTGTGAAATGCATCAAAAATGTTTTTTTTTATTTCTTGACTGCATATTCCTTGTAAATTTCCATACAAACATTTGAATTTATTGTTTCATCATACCTTCATTACATGATCATCCCCTTGGTGCTTCATAACACCTTCATGCATTTCCTAATTTAAGTCTTTTTACATTCCTTACACCACCGTACCATCGTACATTCTTTCCGTGTTCCCTTTTAAATCTCTATTTTATCCCATACATTTTTACAAACATTTGTTCAAAACAACGAAAGGCTCTTTGACTGGTACATTCAAAGTCATGAAATGTTCACTCTTCAGTTCAAGTTTCATTGCATTTAATACACCAATTATTTGCCTGCATTGATTTTATGACTTATTGTGTGTGCAGATCGCTTACTGTAATGCACACTTATTGTGTGTGCAGATCTCTTACTGTAATGCACACTTATTGTGTGTGCAGATCTCTTACTGTAATGCACACTTATTGTGTGTGCAGATCGCTTACTGTAATGCACACTTATTGTGTGTGCAGATCTCTTACTGTAATGCACACTTATTGTGTGTGCAGATCTCTTACTGTAATGCACACATCAAATTTGCTCACCTTTTCTTTTTTTTTTAACCATACCTGTCTCTTTTAACTTCTTGTTTGCCATCCCAACATGAATTTCTCACTCTTTAAATACATACAACTACTCAGTCTGTATTTATCACTTTCATCCTTCTTTAAATAACTCGCTCTTACTGCTGTCCTGTATTCATGGTGATACCATATGTATCATGTTTTCATTTGGTGATGTGTCAGTCATGTTTTCATTCTGTAATGTATTTGTCATGTTTTTGTTTGTAGTTACATCTTATTCTTAATCTTTGTACTTTTTCTAGTCCCTGGAATTTGATGAAGTCATGTTCCACTTGTTTTACTTGGAAATAATCATTTTGCTATTTATTATTATAATATTCCCCACCCAAGTGCTGCAGTATGCTTGTAATTTATCCTGCACTTGTATTATGGTTGATTTAAGGAGTGTACTCGTAACCAGCAAGTAATGGTTGTGATGTACATTTTATTTTATGATTTTTGTATTGATCGAAAATCTTCTCGACTGCACAATTCTTGTTCTCATAAAATGAAGCATTCCTCAAAATTGAAATGCCAAAAATAAAAGTCGCAGTCAGCAACTACAAATATGTGTTTATGATGCTTTTTCTTTCATTTTGTGAGTTTAGCTTCACAGTGTAAACAGATGCACGGTGTAAACAAATGCACGATGTAAATTGATGCATGTGGGGGTAGACTAGACAGCTTTTATGTTAGAAAATATGAAGTACCGGTACCGGGTATATGAATTAGAAGCAAAAATAACACAATGAAATGTAATACATTGATCAAGTTCTGACGTACCCTGGACTTCCATCTTCCTGCACCGACTGGCCCCCATCCTTATAGATTTAGATTCTACCAGGGGGATGGGTAGTAGTAATATAAATAGATACAAAATACTGTAAATTGTTACAAATTTAAATCATTTGACACCACTGGCACTTTCTGATAAGCATTGACGATTTCTGAATAGAAATGAGTGTTCACTAAGGGAGATCTTACTTGTTTTAAAATGGTTTTATTTTATTTTGTAAGATTTCATTTAACGTTGAGAGGATTTATGAGGTCCAGGTTCCCAGACACCATCATAGTTATTAAATGGTTTGAACCTTATTTTTAATATTTACAAAGAACCTTGGCAAAATATCTATAATAGAATAATTTACTTCATTTAAACTTAATCTGATTTTAGTTAGTGATCACTATTTCAAAGGGTTTTTGGACAGAGGCTGTAACCACAAAGTTTGAGAATCATTGATGTAAACAGAACACAAAGGTACTAGGTTAAAATATAATAATAGTAAATGAATATATAAAAAGAGGATTTAAAAAACAACCACACACACATTTCATACAACAACTTCACACCAATTTCATACAACACCCTCACACACACATTTCATACAATAACCTCACACTACACACATTTCATACAACTACAACAAAAATATGATTCCTTGATGAATTTTTTTTTTTATTTACGTTGAAACTATTTTTACAAACTGCATTTCTCCACCAACAAATGTCCATCAAGATGCATGAATATAACAGACTGTATGCAAACTGCCACGAATCATCACGGCGTTGTCGAATCATCTTGACGTCGTCTCGCCATCTTTACTTTTGAAAGGGTTGACTTTGCTCACGATTCCCACTTTGGGGTTATCAAGCTGCAGCCTCCTCAACAGCTCAACTAAATAAAGATTCTTGAGGGGCTGCGGTGGATTCTGCTCGGCCTGCAACTTCTTGGCTTTCTCCACAGCATCGTCCCCGGACAGACCTATCCATTCAGCTTCTTCCTCCTGGGAACAAAAGAAAAGTCAGGGAAATGAGGAACATGTCTACCCCCAATTGAGTCGCACAGTATTTCGTTCCCATCAACCAAGACACAGATAAAAGCTATTAGTATTAGTCATCATCATAGCTTCATCATGAACTTCACGTGTAACTTAAGATTCACTTAACATTTGAACAATTATGTATCTGACATAGGCACTGCCGTCGACAAATAAAAAAAACAAACATTTTTCTTTCTAAATATTTTTTTAAGGGTGGTAGGTAATATCTATCTTAAACCCAGTACATAAATGTGGGGGGTTTTAAAAATTAATTTTTTTCTTTATTGCATAAAGCTATCCTTTGTGGCTTGACACTAATTGAAAGGTCTTAAAACAATTTTTAACATGACAGGAATTAGTGAACAGGGCATAACAATAATACTACTTAAATACAAAATTTATTATTTTACAAATAATTGTATACCGTATCGGTATGTTAAATAAACCCTGTACCTAACCGGTAATGTCTAAAAGTTTTTTTTTAAAATTCATAAAACCCACAAAAACTGAACTAATTAATATTATTTGTTCAATGTTTATCTAAATGTGTTCTTCTTCTATATCTTAAGGGCCCACGATCAATTTATTGATCATTTTGGCTCCTATGTCGGAGCATGTAATATGTGTTAAGAATATGGATTCTTCTGAAAGGAATTTAATGAACAGCATTTTTTTCTCAAAATTATTTTCTTAAACTTAAAGACTAGATTAACTAGATTACAGCAAAATTATTTTTTTTTAGGCACCCACTCTGTACTATAACTTAATTGAACTATAACAACAAAGTGTAGGTGCCCACTCTGTACATTAGCTCCTTTGTGTTAGATTTTAGATCAGTTAACATGTAGACATTTATTCACAAAGGCATAATAAAGGCAAAGTCACCCCGTTTCACAGTACTTAATACAGATACTGTTACCAGATCTTTGTCACTGTGCAGTCTGTTCGTATGGCAACTGAACAATCATTTGGAAAAAGAAAATAAAGAAAATTAACTAGAGGCCTGTTGGTCATTAAATTCTTCTTGAATAGATTAAAAAAAATGCCAATGATCATTTCTTAGAGAGATTTTATTCCCTGACGAGGGAGTTGGCTATGGACTAGCATTTTCCCACCTTTGGAAACTTGACACTTACAGGTATGATGAATGACTTGTACTTGTTGTAGACTTTCTCCCTCTTCAAAGGGTCATCAGGGTACAAGGATTTCCTGACTAGTGCCAACAACATTTCTCTCTTGAGTGTCATGGCAAGTCTGGAGCAGAGGTCCACCTCGTGGGTCTGGAACAAAAAAATTAAAGAGGCAGGGTGGCTGAATTAAAATGTTCAGTGTTTAGATGAAGGTTTCGGGGTGTGTCGCTGTGTGAGAAAAGATGATTTAGATTCAATGGTAAAACTATACTGAAAAGAAAATACTGCCGATAATTTAGTCAGGTTTCCAAAAATATGTTACATGTTTAATCATCGAAACAATTCTTCAATATAATGGACAGCATATTTACAGAAGACTGAAAAAGCAAGTGTTACAGGAAAAAAATTATTCACCATGAAAAAAATATATGCTCCATGTCAACATAGATAAGCACATCATTTTTTTTATTTTTTTTTTACTATCACCTTATCCTCTCTAATCAGAAGTAGAGACTGTGTCATTTCTGAAATTTGAATAGTTCCATTACTCCTCAGTATTGATAGTTACATTACACTAGCAATAGCTATCATTACTGAAGCCAAGTGATGCTGCAATGGCTGAGAACTACAAATCTTAAAACAGATTTAACAATAAACTAAATTAAATTACATGTGCAGTACTTGATGAACAATGTAGGTGCAGTACTGGCACTAAAAGAACAATGCATGTGCAGTACTGGTACTTTAAGAATAATGCATGTGCAATAAAGAATAATGCAACCTCCACAGAAAATGATAAAATCTACCTTGAGAATGTAAAAGTCCAGACCAAACGACTCATCAACCAGGTGTAATGTTCTTGGTGTTATGTTGATGGACATCCACCTGTCGAGGATTTCACTGTATAAAACTTTTTTTTGCAGGTAAGGTCGCCAGAGTCTTGGATACCTGTAGCATAGGGTAAAGTGTGCACAATTATGTTCAAATTACTTGTGGTTCACATTTACGCTTTCAAAATTGAATAACAAATATAAACAAAGGTTTTGTAATTAATGAAACATCCAACACATCTAATTTCCACAAAATGGATTATACGTCAAGTTTTAGATTGGTTCAGGTAACAAAAGGATGTTTGGCCAATCTGAATACTGAAAGCTATTTTGGGACCCCTGATAGTCTGATAGAAGCGGCTCATTTTGTAGGGGTTCGTTCACATGTCAGCCATGCCAAGTGTCACAAGTCGTTTATAGCTAGACTAGACTTAACATTAACATACATTTAATAAGAAAATGCCACTGTTTAAGTGTTTGCAATTGATTTGTGGAACAACTTGCTTAGTTACAGAACAGACCGGAAGGTCTTCCAATGAAGTACAGGTGAACAATTGCAAACATAACAGTTAGATTATGCTGGCTTTATCACTGAAAATATTTTTAAGTTTCGCAAAAGTTGACTTTTTTAAAAGGCTGACAGTACACTCACGTGCCAAGCTTGAGCCTCTTCTTGGGTATGTCTTTCTTGTAGTAGCCAAAGATAATGCCTTCACCGCCCCATAGTCCCAGATTGCACTCTTTGGGAAACACAATTGGGACAGGTAAATTCACGACAGGAATTCTGTAAGAAAATAACATAATTAGTCCAATTCAAGTGTTTTTTTTAAAATAAATAAATAAATATGGAAAGCATATTTAACAATGAGATGATCCCACAGGTTAGAATAGAATAATGGGGCTGTTTTGGTATTGATGATGCAGTCTAACAGACAATATTTGAATATGGAATGTGGCCACATCCCCACACGCCAGCAATACTCAGCTCCTTCAAATGATCTATCATTCAGGTTGTCAACAGATCTTACCATTTCATAACTTAAATTCCATTTTTGGAAAGTGAAAAGTAATAGATCCTAAATTTCATTTTTGGAAAGTGAAAAGTACTAGATCCTAAGTTCCATTTGTGGAAAGTGGAAAGTACTGGACCTTAAATTTCATTTTTGGAAAGTGAAAAGTACTAGATCCTAAGTTCTGTTTGTGGAAAGTGGAGAGTACCGGTCCCCTATATCCTAAATTCCATTTGACGAAAGTACTATATCATAAATTTTATTTGTGGGGCTGGGTAAAACTCTAGCATGTTGTAAGAAATGAAAAACCACTCCACACAAACAGGAACACTTTCACTGGTTAATAATATAATTCTAATGTTAGTAGCAAAATACTTGTTGCTGCTAAAGCAATCATATACTCTTTATACCTTCTCATCTGGCTAAAGGAATCATATACTCTTTACACCATCTCATCTAGCTAAATCAATCATATACTTTTTATACCATCTCATCTGGCTAAATCAATTATATACTTTTTATACCATCTCATCTAGCTAAATCAATCATGTACTTTTTATACCATCTCATCTAGCTGAAGCAAGATTTTCTTAAAGCTTAAAAAGTTTGTGAATAAGTGGCTGTTCATAAAGTACGCCACGTTATTTTTTGGCAAATGTTTACCCCCCACCCCATGATTGTCGTCACACATTGTCTCCTCACCGTCACAAAGTCTGGAGCGTGACATACTTTATGGACAAGGGGGTGTAAATAGTAAATAGTTTTTTTTCTAGAACTAAGACTTTAAAAATCAACATTTTAAAAAAATTATGAAAGTTTTATTTTTTGTATTGTTATGTAGTACACTTTTCCAGTGCTTTAGCTTTGTTTCACCCCACATTAGATCCCTAGCAGACGGTAGCGTTTGTTGTGGGCGTGGCTTAGTCTTTGATGTATCGTGTTTACTACAGACAAGTTAACATGGTTAGTAGGTCTACTAGTATCTTGTCGAAGGTTCTCAATTGTATTAGAAAAGTAGGGGTGTTTCTAGACGCATCGGTAGACCCACATATATAAATGATTGACAGACACAGAAGGACGGAGATTGATGGGTATTTTTAACTTCACGAGATGTGTATTATTCTTTGTGTGCTCATATGTGTTACTCGCATTCATCATTATTAATTGGAACATTGTACTAGTGTGTACTGGGACGAGATTTTCCAATACTCTGTAAGTTGATGATTTGTAATTATATTTCTTTTGTTTTGTAATTGTATTATTACTGAATTAAATCTTATTGTGATTGGTACTGTTTTGGGTGTCGTATTTTTGCATTTGTATTTCTCTATGGTATCATCCTTTGTTAGGCACTGTTTAAACGAGCCATAAATTTAAAATAATAGAAGTCAGTGCGTAACAGTATACTAAGAGCCAGGAATGAAATAGAATTTGAACTTACCTTTCACCTGAATCTTCATCTGTTCTGTAACGTGCAGGATTGGGACGCCAGTGTATGGGTATTTGATCTCTTGTCATGAAGTCTCTGCATCTATCAACGTAATGCTTTGGCAAGATTGCCTCTTCTTCCTTAGACCACTTATATATGTAAGGAGTTGAACCTGTGGGTTATTTGTGTATATATATATTTTTTAAATTGGTCTCTAGTAACGAGGCACAGATAGGTCCTTCAATACTGGCAATAGGACAATAGAAGACACGGTTAGGTCTCTACTTTTATACTGACTATAATTAGTAATAGTATTGTATTGTATAGCATATTCATATTTACTCAAGGCCGAGTTGCATGGCCGGAGTCCCCAGGGACTACTGGGCTATGTTTCGCGGCCAGAGGTCCTAAGAGATGGAATCTCGACCTCCGAGTATTGAACTTAATCAGCATATTCATATAACTATACTATAACACCAGCCATAATTAATACTAATACATTTTTTGTGACACACTCATTGCAATGTGGTATATTTAAATGAATGATATCAATAATTATATAAATAATATAAGATTAAGGGTAAATGCAAAGAAGGGATGCCGTGCTTTCCCAAATGGCCGCCATCTAGGTTGACACGTCCCCTGAAGTCACAGGTCGTGTCAACCAAGATGGCGGCAAAAAAAAAGGAGTGCAAAACATGTGTGATAAAAAAAAAGGGGGAGGGAGAAGAATGTGTTAATTAAACAACTTACAGAAAGATAGGAGAATAGGGAAATGAGGAAATTTACAAAAAAGAAATGAAAGGGGGAAAAAAATGAAATTAATAGCATATTTTGGAAAAGTTCGTCAAAAAAATGTAAAAAGCTAAAAAAAAAAAAAATAAATCTTTTTGTTTTTGAAAAAGGCGAAAATTTAATGAACTAAAATCAGCCCTAAATCGATCATTAAACCTAACCTGAACCCTAAATCTATCCCTAACCTGGAATTTGACCCTATCGGAACCAGGGTTTTGACCCTAAAGAAACCAGGGTTTTGACCCTATCGGAACCAGGGTTTTGACCCTATCGGAACCAGGGTTTTGACCCTATTGGAACCAGAGTTTTAACCCTCTCCCTAACCTATACTAACCTGGGTTTTGACCCTAAAAACTAGGAAAATAAACAAAAAAACTGAAGAAAAAAAATGGCCAAAAATATTTATAAAATAAAGAAATAATGAAAACCCAATTTACAGTTTCATGGAATACACTTTTACAAACTTTATCTCAGGTTCAACTGAAAAAAAATTTAAAAAAAAATAAAATACCGGGTACAATACAAGGTTAGACGTGAAGCCCAAATCCATCAAATATGGTGGATAAAAATATATTATTTATTTATAATGACCCAACCAATGAAATTTTAAAATTATAATTAATCAACCAATTAAAATTTTAATACAAAACATGCCATCGGCATATGAATACTAATACATAAACAAATAATTCTCTAAAAATAAACAAAGGGAAGTGACTCTTACACGACTTAAATAAACATGCAAATGACATCATGGCATCCTTTCTTTGCATTGACCAGATTTGAGACTTAGCCTAAAGTTAAAATTAGTACTAGTCTGAAGTAAAAGCATTTATTAAATTCATTAAATTTTAGCAGCAGGATCATGCTTAAATGCAATTTGAGTTCACGACTTTGGACTCTGTGTTATTATTGAAAACATTGTTATGTTTTAAATATGATACTATCTGCTTATTAGATCGTTATGATTATTTGTTTTGAAAAGAATTAATAAAATAACTTACGCCAATTGTTCACCCATGTTCCCCACTTCGGAATTCGCCTTCCTGTGACGGTAAATCTCGAGTTGGTATGTTTCTCCAAATAAGTTACTTCTTTGATAACCATATCTTTCATTTGTTTTATAGTTGGCATAAACTTGGTTATTTTAACCTTTTCCATTTTTAAGGATTACCGGCGTGAACACTTTTATTTTCTTTACAAAGTCTACAAGCAACAATTTTTTTAAAAAAAAACGTTTGTTAACTTCAATTCTTCACAACCTTGGCTAAATGATATTTTTGCGAACTCTCTAGCAATAAAGATAAATATAAGAAATAAAATGCTATTAATAAGTTTATCGTTATTTGTGTTACACCAATTATCTCCGCACACTTTTACGTATTTCTCATCGCATAGAATCATATTTAAAACATAAATAACACTTCTGTAGAGGCAGGTTAAGCAGATTTGCATTAATTGCCTGTCGTTCACATGAAAGTATTTAGTTTCAGGTTGTCAAATTGATTTGATGTTGACCCGAAGATAGGTTGCACCCTTAGTCTTATTAGCCTTACTTCGGACTTTGGAAGTTAATAAAAAATAAATTGAAAAATCCCCTTTTAATGTAGGTGTAGGGTAAATATAATTAATATTTATTAAACATACACCACAAACACATTAACTTAAAACTGAAAAGCAATCGTCATAAACTACGTGATCTTAAATAAACATTTTAAAAAAGAGAGCTATATCACATGAATACGCTGGGCATTGTGCCAAGGGCATTATGCTTGTTACTTGTCTTATATATATATATATATATATATATATATATATATATATATATATATATATATATATATATATATATATATATTTAAGAATTTGGCACACAACAGATATCTTAGCTCATAGCAAAACGTGCGTTTTAACTACGAGTCTGCTCACCAAGACTGACTTTTGATTTTTAAAATAAGTATAAAGGGAAATCACTCGCACATGTCAATAATCATCGAAACATCAAAAATAGTAGTAGCTTCCCTTAATTGTCAGGAAAATACCATCTGCTTTTATGTCCCTTTGCTTGATGATGCACACAAAAATATATATATATACATATATACCGTATATAATATTAATGGTGCACGATTTCCAGTGTGAAATGCAAGGAAATAGTACTTGATTTGAGCAGATGAAGACAAGCATTGACTTTACGGTACAAAGATTTGACCAATGGATATCAAGAGAGACCATCACACGATGATGTGGTCTAAAAAAGCAAAGCGTAATTAATTTGTAAAGATATGGAGAATTTGATGATTATCAGTTGTTTGTTTTTTATTTTATTTTTTTTGGGGGGGAGGGGGGGGCACTTCAGATTTTTCGCCAGCAGTTCAAGATGATTTATTGTTGGACGTATTTTTGCACGGGGGGGGGGGACTTGTTGGCTTTTCCCCGGGGCGGGGCACTGCCCCCCCCCCCCCCCGATAAA